TGTTTGCGGATATCCAAAATGGGCTTTCAATAGAACAAAGAGGGTGAAAAAACAAGACAACTGAGGACCAGAACCCAGGAGAAAGGGGTAACTATTTCTTACTTGGCGGGTGTTTCTGAGAATTTTCAGCCAAAATGAAATCCCAGTCTATTTCAAACCTACAAACAGAAACTGGTCAAGTCAAAGGACAAAGCACTGAGCCACAAACAAAGCAATGTAGTCAACTCCATTCAGTGTAGTGAAGACTGCAGTGAGCGCTACATTGGAAAAAGGAAACAGCTATTTCACAAGAGGATGTACCAACACAGACGAGAGAGCAATAGTGGACCTCAGTCTGCTGTACATGTCCAGCTAAAAGTCACTAACCACTCCTTTGAGGATAATGAGGTATAGATCATAGCCAGACAAAAGGAACTGGTGTGAGAGGGGAGTTAAAGAGGCTATTTTTGTTAGGAAAGACAATCTACATACAATTCGCTCTACAGTTCCAGTATTTTAAATCCTAGCCTCCTAGCGTTGTGACGGTGAATTACTTCGCAGGCACAGCGCATAGACCTCGATGTAGATCCATAAATCAAAAACAGCAGCGACAAGGCGATGATGGCAGTGTGCACTGAGCTGACGCAGACCTATAATTCACCCTTTAGTGCAGTTCAGTAAACCTAGCTAACAAACTGTAAACAAGTCGGTGTGTTACTTTCAGAGAAGTTTCAGTGTAGTTAGCTCCTTCCTGCAGGTAGGTATAAGGCAGTGTGCACCAGCGTCTGACCAGAACTGAAGAAGCAGCTTGGATGAGCTGCAAAACGTATTCAACCAAAAAAAAAGCTTTTATCAAGTTGACAAATTTAAATTCTCCTTCGACATTCCCTCACAAATTTTTCTTCATCCTCTCCCTCTCTCTCTCTTCTTCACTTCTCTCCTTCACTTTCACCTTTATTCTCCCCCTCTTGCCCTCTCTTTCTCCCATCTTTCTCTCCCTTTCTCTTTCTACCTCTCTCTCTCCATCCCTCTATCTTCTTCCAACCCCCGCTCTATTACACTCTCTTTCTCCATCTCTCTCCCACCCTCCTCCTGTCCTTCTCTTTTTGTTCCTCTCTCTACCCTCTCCTCCTACCCTGCCTCTCTCTTTCTTTGTCTTCCTTTCCTTCCATCTCTCTCCCTCCTCCTCCTCCTCTCTCTCACTTTCACTCTCTTTCTCCCTGTCTCTCTTTCTCCCACTCCTCTCTTTCTCTTTCTCTCTTTCCCCCTCTGTACCCCCACTTCCTTCACCCCCCTCTCTTTATCTCCCTCCCTCTCTCCCTATCCTCTCCCTCCCTCCATCCCTCTCGCTCCACCTGACATGTTTTTTGGCTGTGATTGGGCCTCCAGTCCAGTGTCTCTATAGTTTATACAGTATACTGTGGCTGCTCTCTGTGTCTGTCTCTATGACGTCTTTCCCTCCTGGTTTAGACACATGTCATTTCCTAGCCTCTACATGCCCGCTGCCTTCTTCTTCATCGGCTGCGTCCTATTACTCGATAAAGAGTCCTGGAGATGCTTTAGGGGTAATTGGATTTGCGTCTAGTGGAAAGGGACACTCCGAAGATTTGGAGTGAGTGGTGCATGCTGGGAAATGAAGATGTGATGGCTGCAATGTGAAAAGTGTGCTATGCTATGAATCACTGTGGATATCAAATAGAGACAGCTTTGTAGTCCTTAGTTTACTCTGGATTTAGCTCTGTTGTAGGGGGTGAGATTGACATAAATGATAATCTCCATATGTTTGGGGATTATTTTGATGGTGTAACATAGCAATCCAACAGAACTGCAAACTGTACCTGTTAATGTTTCATTTGAAGTTCAAGTATTGCACAAAAATGTGACCATACCAGCCTGTTAAAGCCTGATCTCGTCAGATCTCAGAAGCTAAGCATGGCTGGGCCTGGGTAGTACTTGGATGAGAGACCGCTGGGAATTCCAGGTGCCACCATGGGGCGCCAGTGGCAAAAGCTGTTGTTGTGTCCTTAGGCAAGGCACTTTACCTAAATTATCTCTTAAGAAAGTGGAACTCAATTTCAATACTAAGGAATAGACTTATTAAGCCAATGATGTTCATTATGTCTTCTTATATACTTTAACTTCTTAGGTTCTTTTTAAAGACAATGCAGTAAAGTGTATTTACCTTGTTGACATGTTTCGGCTACTAGCTGCAAGCCATCTTCAGAACTGTCACCGGTGTTGGTGGTGACGTGTCGTATATCAGCTGTTGTTACTTCCTGTAGGCGTGGTCAGCCTGATGGACCTGCCAGGTAAATACACTTTACTGCATTGTCTTTAAAAAGAACCTAAGAAGTTAAAGTTTAAGGAATAGACTTGATACTCAATACCGATTCCCATACACCAATGAGAATTAAAACACTCTTTCTTTAGACAATAGAATGTAATTTTCAACATTAAATCAGTATTTTCTTTTATATTACCATGTGGCCTTATATCTGTGTAATCCCTCAGTGGGCCAGGTAGGTTCTATAGTGGTCCCTGGGCGTATACTAGACTATGTGCTCTTTTACTTCTTTTGATACAACTCAAGATCATTCTAAAGCGATTCAGGAAAGATTCATTTCTGACCTGTGAATTTGACTTTTTAGTATTGATATTTGCCCAGATGATTTGGTTTTGATACTAGTTTTAGTATTGATTAGTATCTGATTTTCAATATTTTTGACAACTCAACTGCAGTTTAGGTCCATTTATTTTTATCAACCCTTTTTGCAGTCTATTTAACAGTATTATAAACAGTATACTCAATAATCTATGTTTGCATATTTCCAAAAATAACAATTGCAATATTCCCACTTGCTACTCTAATGTAGTTAGTTTAGCCCTGGTCCAGTCCTTGCGTGTCTTGATCTGTATTTATTTAGTTTGAATTGCCTCTTGAGAGGCATCATCTCTTTTTCAGGGGGGTCCTGCATATCTCCATGGGGATATGAATGTGGTTGCTATCCTGAGTTAGTCCTAGTTTAACTGAGCGTTTTGACTTGATTTTAATCCTGTGACATGCTATGAAGATGGTGAGGCTATTGCAATTTCACTCTCTGTAATGTACCCCAGTGAAAGCTTGAGGGGCAAAAGTTTATTCAAGTTCATATGAAAAATAACTGGTGAAACGTGTGTCCTTGAAGATAAAATGGCGTCTGCTTACAATGTGGTTGGATCAAAAATGTCAACAGTGACTATAAATTACTGCTGTAATTCTCCAGGGCAATACAATATGTAAACCATTCTTTAAAAGACAGCAAAATCACTGCAATGTTGAGTTAGTGGTGAACCAAAACAGTAAAACACCAACCACAATGGAAGGTTTGACTTTTTCCCAGCGACCAAAGACATGATATTACATGAGCATGGGATGGACAGTGTGCCAGACAATTTACACATGCCAGTCTTGTCTTGAGATTCACAATGTAAATCATTCTAGTGCATAAAAAAATGCTTGATACTCCAATACACAATACTTAAACATTTTATACACAATATGATGCCCTTTCAAATAAAAAAAAATAGTGTAATGTAATGTAATTTAATCACAGTATTATTTAGTTTTCATGTGATCTATCTGATTCTAGCTCTGGTATCACTCTAAGCACTTTAAAACTATTCAACTAAGAGTCTTAGTATTATTTGGGTTGTGTTGATACTCATTCAGATTAGTTTAGTTTTGATAATAGTTTCAGTAATGAGCAGTGTCTGGGTATAGATTTCCTTTGACACTTGTACTACACTTACGCTTGCCTCACTCTTGTTAACTGGACACGTGTAATTACAATGTGTGTTTTCTTTTTCTCAATTGATTTCCCCTTGAGGTCTGAGATGTTTTCAGTTTTGGCATTCACCACATTTCTGTGTGAGATTCCTGCAAGTGGGAGCATGCACTGAGCCCGTAACACCAGCACTCGTCCCCTGAGAGCTGTTCCTATTCAGGCCTATTAACAACACCCCCAAAATCAATAAACCATTATTTGTTTTTATGCAGGAGGTGGTCGTTATCATTCCTGCTAACTACCAGCAGGTTCAGGTTGTGGGTTCAATTCTGAGTGATATTAACATTAATAATATGTGAAAAAATATATACATTTCACGCATTATTGAGTATAGCATATAGTATAGACTTGATGTATTTTTATTAATGATGCTTTGCTCCAGTCTTTAAGCTACACAACAAGCACATATCTCATTCTGAAGAAAAGGTCATTTATTATTGTATCTCGTATTGTAATATTTTTGTAATTGAAAAATGTAGTAGGCTAGTTGAAATTATGATTATAAATCTGATTACTTGCACAGCCGTAGGCAGAAATGGAAATATAAAATATATAAATAATGTTGTTTTAAAGGTATGATAAATTAGAATATCAAGTTTAAGTTTAATTATCTGCAAAAAAAATATATTTTAAGGAAAAGTGGAAAAAGGAAAAAGCAGTATTTCAGTGGGTGAAAGGGGAATTTGTGCGTTTGACTTTCACTCACTTTTTGAGTGATAGAACCTCAACATGTGTGGCAAAAATATAATATTTAAAAATATTTAAAAATGTAAATCTGCCATCATAGCAACTAATCCAAGTGTTTATTAAGTTACAACAATATACTGTAAGTCATCTTCAAGGTGATACCAGTAACACACCTAAAACAGCCAGCGGGCATGAAAGCAGAGGATCTACTTTCACAAAATGCCATTGTGTGTGTCTGTGTGGTGCATGTGATACAGTGTGGTTCTTCTTGGTTGTTCATTGTGTCCTGCTTAGGCCTGCATTAACTGGACTCGGGAGAGTAACGCCTGTGCTAATCACATTGAATGAATTGATGTTGTGGTGTTATGCTGCCTGCCCTCACACTCTCCTCTCCCTCTCTGTTTCAGGGTCCTTGATGCTGAAGTGACTGCGCTGAAGGGAACTATTCAAGTGAAGAAACAAATACTCCAAAACACTCCAAGACTTTGTGTGGATACACCAAACCAGAGCATGAGAGCCGCCCTGCTAACAGCTCTCCTCCTGCTGCCCCTGGTGAGTCCACCTGGGGGCTGGGATAGAGTTCAGGAACTGACGTCATAGCAAAAAAACACTCGGCTGTGTTTCTAGAGAGGAGACAGCAAACTATATATTTAGATTGATTTACTTATTTGAAAGGGCCATATTAATGAACATACAATGTAAATATTCAAGAATTATCCCAGGTCAGGGTAAGAGTCAACATGTAGCACTGTACACATATTCAATATTGTGTTATTATTAGTAGTAGTTGTAGTAGTAGTAGTTGTTGTAGTAGCTGTAGTATTCAGGAACATTCTTCAGAGATGGATGTTTTATGCCATACTGTGGAATATTATAGGGAAAAGAGCACATTTTTTATGGAAAAATATAGCACAAGGCCCTCCTCTGGGCCAAATAAATGTCAAGTCTGTGGAGGTGCAAGCCTACTCAGACAAGGATGCTTTTGTTACATATTTAAAATGCCAGTTATAGAGTGCAAAATGGGTGAAAAATAAAGCACTGCAAACCTGTTGAAACCCAATAGCTTTCTCCAGTGAAGTTTAACTTTGTGACAGCAATCAGAGTATCAAAATGATATGAAAATGTTTGCTGGAGCTATATGGCCTTCAAAAACACAGAGGAACACTTTGGAATAACCCTAAAATTACCTCAAGAGGTGGAGGCAAAGGGAAAAGCAGGCTGTGAATACCTGTCCAGAAAAGTCACATAGTGCACCTTAAAGTAAACTCTTATAGGCTAGTAAAGGCCCTATGTTACGCAAAATTAATTATAATGTTGTTAGCTCATCAAAAACATTCAATGTGTTGTGTTTTGTTTCATTCACACATGTTTGAGTAACCCTTTATTATTAGTCCAAAGCTCAAAATGCTCTGTTCCACCTTGTGATGTCATGAAGCTGTTAACAGCTCCTTTTACCTTTCGTTCTGTAGAGATTTGGCACTTCCAAACATCATCCAAAACCAAATCATTAAAATGATTCTAGTAAAGGTGTATGGAGTTTAAAAACACAGTGGAGCACTTGCCCGTATTACCACATAACATCACAAGGTGGAACAGAGTGCTTTGTGTTTGAGAGAAGAACTGGGCCTAAATATGCAGGGTTTGTGTGTTAAACATGTGTGAATGAAACAAAACACAACTCCAGGTCTGTTTGTGATGAGGAAACAACATTAGAACATAGATCAGAAAAGTGGTAATATGGGCCCTTTAAGAAACAGTTCCAATATTGCCCTGGTCTCCTACCTTCTATGTTTAGTTTTGACATCTTCACCTCCAGTATCTTTTCATTTTCACCAGTGGACTTTCGTGTGGGCGTTCTTCTGTCAACACTCCTGCACCATCAGCACATCCACATACCAGCGTTTAGCCTTTAGCCACGTTAGCCTGGTTAGAGCTGTTAGCGTGGTTAGTTAACAGATGGCCTGGGTGATGCCCGTCCATCTGCTGCCTTTTGCTTACATTTGACTTTCTTCATGTCAGAGCAATACATTTAAAAAAGAACTAGAAATGTGTTCAGGAAGTGTGGGCGTAACTATTTGGGATTACATCAATAAAAGTCCCAGGCTTCCGATGGTCACTGAAGGAACACAGCTGTATTTGGAATATACAAACATTGAGTGGGCTTAATGTTAATCCATTTGTTTCTATTAAATAAATAGAGTATTTTTTTCAGTGGTCTGTCCTCAGAAGACCTCCTCATATAAGCAACTTGCACACATACAAAACAAATGTTACACAAGACAGTCCTCATTCCTCATCCCCTTTCTTCCTATTATAACTAGGTCTACCACAGTAATTACTACATTGTGTGTACATTTTCTTTGCACTAAGAGGGAATTTCATTTATTTATTTTTTTTGGCTATATGATAAGATTTGAGCCATAAAAGGTTGAATAAATAACTTCTAAGACTCATTACAGATGCAAACTAAGTAGCTACTATAGTGTTTCATTCTGATATATATTTATTGCATCTTATGGTTTAACAATACTGTAGATTAGGGGTGCGCAAGAATTTTGAAATATTGAAATATTGATATATCGTAATACTCACTTTGATGATACAGTATCGTTATCGTGGGCTGCTGATGATGATTAAAATAGATGTATTTATATAATATTTTTATAAGTAGTAGTTTAACAAAGAAATACGGCTGCTAAAATGTGTTTGATTCTTTAAAAAAACAGTAATATATCATGTGTAATGTATCGATTATTGCATGTATCTCTGTATTGTGATAATGTTGTTTTGTATATCATCTCGATTCTTGAGGGATGGATGGATGGACTAGGTCAGGAATCAGAATACACTAGACAGTTTACAAAAACCCTGGAAATGTGAGTCCGGGCACCAGCCAATCAGCGAAGAGCCATACATTCTGTGTTGGCAACGATTCTCAAGATCGAGGATTTAAAGCCAGAACAAAGAGAATGTTTGGTGAATTTTATCAAGGGGAAAGACGTTATTGCCCTTCTTCCTACGGGACTTGGGAAAAGCTTAATAATACCAGTTAGCCCTGTTATAGGCGCTTTACATATGTCATAACCAAAATGCAGCGACTGGTTAAAATAAAAAAAGCACCCACCTACCGTCGAGCGAACGAATTATAATGGTGCGAGGTCAGATGGTTTCCACGAAGTGAAAAGCCAGTGATTCTCGGCCTTATTGTAGATTTAAAATATTTTTTGTGGTTTAAATCTGCTCTTTATGGTGTATCATCTTTTCAGCAGTACATCATGCCTCAAATTTTGTTATTACACACTGCCCCCTGTAGTAAGTGCTGACATATGCATAAGCAGCAGAGTACTACCTGACCTTCCCTGGCTGCAGACCTGTGCTTATTGTCTATCAGAGGGTTTATGCCACGTCAAACTGCACTTTTTATGATTGGTGCGCTTCAGTGCCATGGGAACTAGTTATCAGGTCTGTGGAAATAGCCTGAGGGAGGGAGCTGGGGTCTGGGCTGAACAAAATGGAGTGGTAGGCTATCTGGATGGACATCTGTTTGTGAGAGGAGCATAGCAAACACACATCTATGAGCAGAAAGTTAAGTGACTGAAACTGAAGATTAAGATTAGGATAGGCCTGTCACTATAAATACTATCGCTCAATACATGACAAATGGAACAATCATTTTTGTGGGTAATATTTATGGTGGGTACATTTTCCTTAGTGGGAACATTTTGGTTATTTTTCTGTACTGATGATGAGATTTGAGCTGTAGAGGGTTGAATTATGAATGTCTATGACTCATAGGTACAAACTAACTCTGTAAGTGTTGCATTCTGTTATTTATGCATTGATTGCAGCTCATGTATTTAACAATACTGCGCATTTAGAAAAGGTTGTTTTTGTAATAATTCTGCCCATGGTCTGTTTTTTGGTTTAAGCTCAAGATCATTCTAAAGCTCTTAAATTAACGTCCTGTGAATGTGACTTTTTCAGTATCAGGTTTCAGTGCTAGCTTTAGTATTGATTAGTATCTGGTTTTAATATTTTTACAACCCTAATGTTTATACTGGCTTAAATTACACAAATCGGCCATATTTTTCTGTCATGATTAATTTGAGTTTGTACTGTGTTAATATTTCATTCATAAGATACTGAGCCCAGTCTGTGACAAAACAAATACTGTTAAAATCTTAAAACAATCATGTCCAAACATCTGCCCACTCATCAGGAGCAGAGCCCACTCACACAGAATAAACACAAAACATTTCTATTGTCAAACAAGACTTTTCAATCTCAAATCTAACACATACATGCATGAATGTAGTGCAATAACTCATCTCATACTGTGATCATACAGGGAGCTGGCGTCAAACAGATATTAGTCATCTGCATCCTATTATTCCAGGTTTACAAAAGAACGCACTGGCTCCATGAAGAGTCACCTGCTGCTTAGCAACACAGGTCGGCATCGAATAAAAATGTCTTTAGAGTGAGCGTTCCTGAAATACACAAGAGATCCCAGTATGTACAAGCATTCTGAGATACGAGAGACAACATGGAGGCTTTCTGTGCGAAAGGTAGAGACAGGGCTCTTCTTAAAGCTGACCTATTCAAATTAAAAGAGACTTTTTAGAGATTTTAACCATGTTATTTTTCCACTTTTCATTTACCCTCTCGTAGTTGTATTTAGTTAGTCTGATCTCACTGCATTAGAACTTGTTCGCTTGATGGTAGGTGTTTTTTTTTTTTTTATTTAACCAATCGCTGCTATTTGGCTAGTTTGCTAACTGGTATATTAAGCTTTTCCGAAATCCTGTAGGAAGAATGGCAATAATGTCTTTCTCCTTGATAAAATTCACCAAATATTCTCCTTGTTCCGACTTTAAATCCTCGATCTCGGGAATTGTTGCCAACACAGAATGTATGGCTCTTCGCTGATTGACTGGTGCCCGAACTCGCACTTCTGGGGGTTTTGCGAACCGTCTAGTGTATTCTGATTCTTGACCTAGTCGCTGGAGAGAAATTAAATTGAGCAGAGGCACTAGGTGGTGCCAGCATGGCTAGTATTTAGTGTGATTCATGCACGTTTGAGTTTTCTTTATACTCCTGTATTCAAGACATCATTGCTCTGACCAAACCACATTTTCACCTCATTGTCTTTTAAATATTTGCAAATGAAAAAAAAGTCCAAACTTACATAGATCAATTAGTGCAATATAGACCACTTAAAAGTACAGCAGCACCACAAAAGCAGATGCCTGTTCATAACATAAGATCATAGAGCGGAGTGGATCCCGGGGCATCTCGACACAGTGTGGTGATATTTGTAGACAGAGCTCTGAGGGGAGACCATTCTTCTGGAGGAGCAGTGAGATGCAGTGATGAGTCAGCCATCTTACTCAGGGCTGGAAAATATTACACCTGTCAACGATGAGAGTGAAGAGGCCTGAAGGAAGCTAGTGGCGCTAACTCACCTTAAGATGGAGGAAGCTACATGTATGACAGTGGGATGAGATTTTCTGTGGCCGTTAGAAGACAATGCAGGAAAACAAAAATCTGACAAAAAATGAAAAGTGGTTGAAACCTTCTGTTATAATACAGGAAGTAGTTTTAAACTCCATACACTTTCACTAGAATCATTTGGTTGGATTTCATTCCTGGAGTTCCAATCTCTACAGGACAAAAGGCAAAAGTTTACTTAAAAACTACCACTTCATGACATCACATAGTAGAACAGAGCATTTTGAGTTTTGGAGATATAGATAGACTAATAATAAATTATTACTCAAATGTGTGTTAATGAAAAAAAACACAATTACAGGCATGTATTTGATGACGTATTATAACATGGTGTAAAGCTGGCGTAAAGAGTCTATTATGCATAATATAGCACCTTTATCCAATCCAATCCACTTTATTTATATAGCACATTTCAAAAACTGTCTCCCAAGTGCTGCACAAATACATACTAATAACAACAATAATAATATAATGATAAAATAAATGCTCAGATTTAATGACACTAGTACTAAAACAATATAACCAGTAAAATAAAATAAGAGCAAAACCACAAAATAGCAATAAATAAATAAAACTAATAAAATGCATGAATAAATAAAAGACACAGAGGACCACACAACTCACATGGTGTTAAAAGCCACAGAATAAAAGTAGGTTTTAAGACGAGAACACTCCACTGTGGGGCTGTTCGGACGTGGGGGGCAGAACGTTCCAGAGTTTGGGGAAGGCCACAGAGAAGGTCCTGTCTGCCTTGGTTTTAAGCCTCGACTGAGGCACCACGAGCTGGAGATGGTCCTTGGACCTCAGAGAGCGTGCGGGGGTGTAAATTTGAAGGAGCTTTGAAACGTACTTTGGGGCCAGTCCATTCAAAGCTTTAAAAACAAACAATAAAATCTTAAAATCAATTCTAAGTTAACAGGAAGCCAGGGCAAAGACACAGGGATTGGGGTAATGTGCTCTCTTCTTTTGGTTCCCTTTAAAAGTCACGCTGCAGAGTTTTGGACTCGGTAGTCGGTAAAGTGCGCTTTGTGAAATGCTGAAATAAAGTGTGTTACCGTAGTCCAGGCGTGCATGACTTGTTCAAAAAGTTTAAAAGATTACAAAGGGTTGACTTTGGATACAACTGCAAATGATAAAAACTTGATTTTTTAAATCCCAATGATCTGCTTGTCAAATTTAAAATCACTGTCTAAGGTGACGCTTAGGTTAGTGACTGTGGGGCGAACATAATTTTTGAGGGGTCCCACATCAACGAGGGTACTGCTGGACCCAAACAGTATCACCTCTGTGTTATTAGGTTCTTTTTTCAGACTAAGAGTTTGTTTTCATACCTGACTGTTTCGACTACTCCCTAGCGGTCTTCCTCATAGTGCTCACATGATGTTGCTGTGACGTAACTGGTCAGCTGATTTATACAGATTTTGGCGCTGTCTTCCTACCAGGAGGCAGGAGGCAGGATGACAGCGCCATCTGCAGTCCAACTTCCTCAGGACAGTATTCCAGGTGTGTGAGAAAAAAAAAAAAAAAAAAGCCCCTTCGTCCTGATGTATAGTCCCATAGGCAAGTTTTCATATTTCGATTGCCTTTTTAATCCATCAACGGTGTTTGTTTTCCTCTGTCCCAATGATGTTTGCTCCTAATAACATAAAATATCAGAAGGCCAAATGAATCTCATTAGACTAGTATCACCTGTGTTTTTGCTTCATTCATTTTAAAAAGGTTTTGGGCCAACCAAGCCTTGACATCAGAAAGACAGTCGAGTAGGGGTGTATACTTTAAACTGTATACTGCATACTGTATACAAGTGAAAAGGGTGGCATCAAAATAGTCATATAAGCGTTTATACAGTAAGTGTTGAAAGTTCACCCACCCACAGTCTTACATTGTGTTTTTACCTTGTTACCTTGTGATTGGTAGTGACAGGAAGGGCACCTGGTGTAAAATTTGTCAAATTACCATATCATCAAAAAGACTAAATTAAAGACAAAAGAGAAATCGAATATTACCGCCTGTTTCTATTACTGTCTCCATCTCCTCACCTCATCTTCTCAGCCCATAGCTCCCAGCAGTGTAATTTCTCGTTTCTAATACCAGTGTCTTTTTTCCTGTACCCCCCTCCCCTCTCCATCTGTTCCAGGTGGCCCCGGAGTCTGAGCACTGTATAATCAAGCGTGGACATGAGAAGTGCATGGAGCGGATGGCGGAGCAGGACCCCGCTGAATACATGGATTTAGGTTGGTGTGGTTGTGGTCGCGTGTGGACATGCGTGCCTGATTCTATTTGTCCTCTCATCTTTCCTGCATAATTTGGCATGAAGCACCCTCCGCCCCCCACCTCCTTTGGCTCTAGCTTTGTGCCTAAACTCTTTACTTTTTCATGGAGATTTCTAAGAAGGTTTAGGACAAAAATAGTATTTTTTCTTACTCTAGTTTGTTCAAGGTTGTAGTTGTGTTTTGCTAAGACAAAGGCTCAGTACCACAATGCTTATAAAAAAAATAAAAATAAAAATACTAATCCAATTTTTTCTTAAAATTCTGTTTTATGAGATTTATTCCAGGATCAGTAAAAAAATGCATCCTAATATTGCCATTTGACCTATAATAATTGCATATTGGGTACCCTGTGTTGCCATCCTTTGCTTACAAAGTGCCTTGCCGAAGGACACAACAAGTGGATTCAAACTGACAACCAAAATTCACTTTTCTGTTTACCACTATGTTTGATCTCCTTTTTTGCATAATAATCTGAACAAGTTAGTTTCTTTCAGATTATTTTCTTTTTTTCAGTACAGTGTGTTAATTATTATTGTGCATTCATTTCTAAAACAAACAAAAACATGTATTTACAATTAGGTACTTAGTTTTGCTCTTCTGTACAGTTTAAGGGAAAAAATAATAATATTTTACTGGGTGCAAATGTCAGCATTACAATGCATTTTACCCTGGACTGAAGTGGTGGGTTTTTTGTTTTTCTTCATACAAATTCGCTAAAATCACTGTGAGCAGCGGTAAAACGCCATCGTTCCGAATGTCGGGACGGGCCCAGAGGTGCGCCCGGGTAGACCATCGGGTAACCGCGGGTGAAAGGACCTGCACAGAGGTCCACGCTCCACGGAGCTAATTGCAGCCAATGCCCGATCACCCTTTGCAGACACCCTGCTCCACGGGCTCGGGGTTCTCTCAGGGGCGGTCCTAGATTCCAAGTCCTAGTCCAAGATTGGTTTTGATTTGGTCCTGGTTTAGTCCTGGTTCAGACCTGGTTTACACTTGGTTTACACCTGGTTTACACCTGGTTTACACCTGGTTTAATCCTGGTTTAGACCTAGTTTAGTCCTGGTTCACTCCTGGTTTAGACCTGGTTTAGCCCTGGTTTAGTCCTGGTTTAGTCCTGGTTTAGACCTGATTTTGTCCTGGTTCAGTCCTGGTTCAGTCCTCCTGGTTCAGCTCTGGTTTAGTCCTGGTTTAGACTTGGTTTTGTCCTTATTCAGTCCTGGTTCAGTCCTTGTTCATACCTCCTGGTTCAGTTCTCGGTTTAGTCCTGGTTTAGACCTGGTTCAGTCTTCCTGGTTCAGTCCTCGGTTCAGTCCTGGTTTAGTCCTGACTCAGTCCATGTACAGCTCAGAGGTTTGGCATCTTTGCTGTCTGACGATCAGCGATCAGTTATTTTGGTGAGAGTAACTTAAAAGTGCTGCAATAGTCATGTAATGTCTTACATTTTAAGTGCAGTAGTATTGTAATGTAATGGATTACTTTGAAATGACAGTAACAAGTAATAAATAATGCATTACAGTTTTGAAGTAACTTGCCCAACAGTGCTCATATATATCGCCAAGGTAGGTCAAGTGTCTTGTCTAAGAGCACAACAACTCTTTGCACTAGAGAGACATTTCAAACTGCCAGCCTAAACAAAAAGGGAATCAGTTTTCTTTTCACCACTGTGATTAAAACTCTTTACTTTTCATGGAAATCTCAAAGAAGGTTTAGTTTTGGAGAGGAGGGGGGCAGTTAAATAGGCGTTTTCTTCACCAAGTGCCAGCGACCGCATAGCAAAGGAGGCCATCCAGTGACAGTTCTCAAGCCAAGTGCCTCCTCGCAGATTCATACCAAGTGGATTTTTACAATCACTTCCAAGTCTGTATAAAAGTGGGAACTCAGTATGGGATTCCTGGAAACCATTATTTCCCTGTCCACGGTGCTGTGATTTTCATTAGACAGAGCTGTAGACCCCCACTGCCCTGACTGCATGGTGACTCAACCCTCTGCCTCTCACAAACACCAGGATCAGGAAAATAGAAAGTACATCGGAAAAAATAAACTCTGTAACAAGCTATTAAATGAAAAGAGATTAAAGGTTAAAAATGAGAGGAATTGTAGACTATGCACCATAGAATTTTTCATGCCTGTGGGTTGCTTGTTTATTGCTTGTCTTCATGGTGATGTTGTCATTGCTTTGCCTGGAGTGTTCCACAGTATGGCATTAAACTCTTCTATCTGTCATGGAGACAAGTTACAAGTCAGTTCTGTGGAGAGGTGAGATCGATCATTGTGAGAATGATGTAATAAATGCAAGAAATATACATTTGATTCCATACAGACAAAGCAATTACATTTCCATGGAGACAAGAAAGTGACAAAAAAGTTACATCATGCACTTTTAAATAGTACTGGAAGTTAAATTACATACCTTCTTTACTAAAATAAAAAACCCTGTAAATTACTAAACATGATACTGCAAATAACTTTCTTCATCATCAATGTCTCACTATTATAATGTAATATAAAACTTTGTCAAAATGATCATTTAAAAAACAAATATTTATTGCAGTTCTGTGTATCAATATATTTAGTTGTTCTTGCTTTGATTCAAGCTTAGTTAATTTCTACATTTATTTTAAGTGTTATAGAATTTATGTTAAAAGACCTGAAGCAGTACCTTAGTGTTACCCATGTCTGTGAACTAGAGCTGGGTATTAATAAGAAGTTGGAGATACATACCTCGATGGGCCATGATACGATACATATCTCTATACAGTACACTTTTGATTCGATACAATATATTTCAAATCGATTCGATACAATTCACTAAAAAATAAAGGCTAAATCATGGCTGTGATACTAAAAGTCTTTGTTAAACCAGTTCTTGTCCAAAGTGAATAAGAACCACGAACATTTTACTCATCAAAATGTCAAATGTGTCACAAAAACGTGTTTCCTTCCAACAAAGCAACAAAACTGTAGCACTGTAACAAAATAATTTTGTAAAATATACAAAAACATACACTTGACGATATATTGATTCAGCAGCCCATGATATCGATACTGTATCATCACATTAAATGATACAATATTTCGATATTTTTGCACCTCTAATTTCTCTTTATATCATAGATTAAAATGTTTGTGTTTAAAGCTGCACTATGTAACTTTTTACTGGGGGCCTGCTACTAGCCTGATTCATCAGCCGGTTTCACTTTATAGAAGCCGTCTGACCTCGCAGCATTAGGATTCGTTTGCTCGGCAGTAAGCAGGTACTTCTTCATTTAACCAATCGCTGCTATTTGGTCGTGACGTATGTAATGCTCCGATAACGGGACTAACTGATATATTAAGCTTTTCCCAAATCCCGTAGGAAGAAGGGCAATAACGTCTTTCCCCTTTATAAAATTCACCAAACATTCTCTTTGTTCCGGCTTTACATCCTCAATCTCGGGAATCGTTGCCAACAAAGTATGTATGGCTCTTCGCTGATTGGCTGGTGCCTGGACTCACACTTCCAGGGTTCTTGCAAACCGTCTAGTGTATTCTGTTTCTTGACCTAGTTGCTGGAAAGAAATGAAATTGATCAGAGGCACTAGGTAGCGCCAGCCTGGTTAGCCTGCTATGTAATGCACCATTAAATAGTAGAGTAAGTTTTACATGTTTAAGCTTTGATTTCATGCTTAATTCCAACATTATGTAGTAGTAATTTAGTAGTTTCGTGTTAAACCTGAGTTTGACTTCTGACTTTGAATTCACACAAGCCCATTGCTCTATAGGCTTTAGCGCAGAAGTTATGGTTGACTGTGTCTTGTCTCCGTGGACGGAGCTGAGCATCTAAATGTGTCATACTGAATAAATATGACAGTGAATGATGTCTGTGGATGTGCCTGTGTCAGCCCTTTGTCCAGACTGTACCCCCAGCTAAGGCTAACTGACAGGGCCATAAATATAACTTAAACTGACTGATGGGTCAAAAGAATTAATTGGTTTGAGTTATATAATTAGATAGGTGATGTTCATTGTATGTACAAATTCATCAATCTTGCAATAAAAATAGGATGTGTACCAGCTACTGCAGCCTTCTAGCAGCGATTGTCATTTTCAGACTATATTTTCTGAGGGTAATGTAAATGAACTCTGTTTACGCACATAAATAACTAAAAATAAAATAAGCCCACATAGCAAAATAGGTTTAAAAATAGCACTGTTTATTTATTTATTTAAGGAAGCTGGCCATGTAATATAATATGTATGTTTGGTGAAGTAGATTATGTTATGGGGATAAAATGTAAATCGCGAGGCAAGTTCATGTGTATAGCACGATTGGTACACAAAATAATTCAAAGTGCTTCACAGAATGGGAAATACATTAAAGCAGACCTATTATGCAAAATCAACTTTATAGAGCTTTTAACCATGTTATAGCTGTTTCTCCTTCTCATTTCCCATCTCAGCGTTCTATTTGGAGTGATTTTTGCATGTCTGAGTAATCTTTATTAGCCAGGCTGGTGCCACCTAGTGCCTCCGCTCAATTTCATTTCTCTCCAGCGACTAGGTCAGGAATTGGAATACATTAGACGGTTTGCAAAAAGCCCGGAAGTGCGAGTCCGGGCATCAGCCAAACAGCAAAGAGCCATACATTCTGTGTTGGCAATGATTCCCGAGATCGAAAATTTTAAGTCAGAACAAAGAGAATGTTTGGTGAATTTTATTAAAGGGAAAGACATTATTACCCTTCTTCTTACAGGATTTGGGAAAAGCTTAATATACCAGTTAGCCCTGTTAGCGGTGCGTTACATATGTCACGCCCAAATAACAGCGATTGGTTAAATTAAAAAAATAATAAAAAGTACCCGCCAACGTTGAGCAAACAAATTCTAATGCTGCACGGTCAGATGCCTTCCATGAAGTGAAACCAGTTGATGAATCAAGCTTAATCTTTACTCTCCTATATTCCAGGCATCTCCGATCAGCTT